TTCTGGGGGGGGGGGTTCTAAGGTACCACCCACAAACTTAAAGTGAATGAAGAATAACAAAAACAAAACTTGATTGAGTGTGAAACTGAATATTGACAACAATGAAATTACTCTCCGTCCCGTCTTAGAGTCTGGCCGCGACCGATAGGTCACGAGGTCAGGGACGACCAGTAGCGTATCGATGTGAAGTGGCCAAATTAGGACAAATAACAACAGGAATAATGACATTTTTATTTATTTTACAAAGAAATATCACTTTTTCTTTGATAAAGAATTGTACTGAAACTGGCACCGTTCTTAAACCCAGTGCTGTGATTGGCTGAGAAGTCAGCCGGTAATCAGATGTACAAACAGGTCTGTGAAGGTTCAGGAAGTGTATGTGTAGAATATAAACAACAATATATAAACAATATAACAACAATATGTAAATAATATAACAACAATATATGAAAAATATAACAACAATATATAAATAATATAACAACAATATAACAACAATATATGAAAAATATAACAACAATACGTAAATAATATAACAACAATACGTAAATAATATAACAACAATATAACAACAACATATAAATAATATAACAACAAAATAACAACAATATATGAAAAATATAACAACAATATATGAACAATATAACAACAATACGTAAATAATATAACAAAAATATATAAGCAATATAAGAACAATATATAAACAATATAAACAACAATATATAAATAATATAACAAAAATATATAAGCAATATAAGAACAATATATAAACAATATAAACAACAATATATAAACAAGAAGTATGCCGCAGTTCAATAAAATGATGAGGAATAAGAGTTGACCTTTCAACCCTAAACAGTTCTGCCCAGGGAGAAGAAGGGAGATGATGGTCGTGAGGGTGAAGACTACGACAACCATCCTCAAAATCACCGCTGTCGACGCTTTGCTCCAAGGCTGGGGAGTCGAACCCCAGACACCAGGACAACAATAAAGAGAAATCTTAAATTTTTTACACCGCTCACCACCTCGAAAAAATATTGGTCTCTTCAACAATATTCCTGCTTCCATGTCCCACCAGTAGGACCGAGAGTAAAATACACCATGTTTAAATTTGGTCTGTGGTCGTCAAACTTTTACTGCAGTACATCCCTCCTACTGCAGTTATTTCAAACGCCACAGTACTGCTATCATTATTATTAAACACCCTAGAAATTTTTATTTTTTTATTTTTCCCTGTTGTGACCCTCCGTTGGGACACAGCCCTCCAGTTTGGACACCACTGCATTTTTGCAGAAGTCACAGGAGGAACCGGTTCCTCATTAGACCTCCTCCATTTCTGGTTTTTCAGCTTTTTCTTCTTCAGTTTGTTTGAAAAATGTTTTTCTCCGTGTCAACGACAATTCTCCGACACGACGGACGAGTCCATCCATCCGTCCATCAATCCATTGAACGGGGTGGGCGGAGTCAGGAGCAGTTGTTCATGTGAACTAACTATGCATAAAGGCTAAAATGATTTTTATCATGTTCTACGCCATCTGTTGGGGAAACGTGGGTATTGCAGGGAAAAGGCATTAGTATAATGATAACGATAAATTATATTATATAATTTGGAAAAAGCTTGACGGGCCGGATTACAAAGCTGAACGGGCCGTATCCAGCCCCTGGGCCTTAGTTTGCCCCCACCTGACTTACACATTGGAGTTTGTTTGCATTTCTTTCGTTATGTATTCAAGCTTTATCTTTAATGATCTGCTGTGGCAACCCCTGAAAAAAAGGGACAAAGCCGAAAGAAAAAGAAGAAGATTCAAGCTTTATCTAAGCGTTTTCGCGTCCCGATGTATATTCAAAATACAAAGTTTATCAAGTCGAAAAAAATTGGACAAATCGATTGTCGACAAATTCGCCTAGTTATTTTCTAATTCTATTTTTAAACAGTGCAGTATTCGTAGTAACACATGCACGTGATAATGGGTTTCTCCAGGACACCAAAAGGGTACACATACCTCCGTTTGAGAACAACTTCTTCTACTTCTTAAACCTGTTCCTTGTCAGAAGCTGAGGCCGGGAACTGGCAGGACTGGTCCCCGCGGAGCTGCTCAGGTTTCAACCAAAATTAAAGACGTTGAACGCCGCGGGGCATCCTGCTCGACCAGTTACAACAACAGCCGACGCCAGGCGATGGACGACACTCACCTGGGCCAATCAGAACGTCCGCTGGAGAATCTTCCTTTTAGGGTCAAAGCTGCGGACGCGAGAAGGAATAAAAAGCAGAGAGCACCTGGTTCTCTTCAACCAGGTGACGACCACGGCCCGGAGCTGAGGACTCTCTGAAGATTTTAAAAAAGCGCAAGAAACATCATCAGCATCAGGTAGGAAATCTTAATCTATCGCAGTTAGAGAATTACGTTGGTGTTGTAGCAGCTACGGTAATTACGGCAACTGAGAAGCGAATCTTCGATAGGGAGTAAAAATGACACAGCGTAACGTTTTTTTAGTGATGTATTATTTATTTAGTTTTTCCACAACTTCGTCTCGTGAATGGAAATTCAACATCGTTTTGACATACTGTATATATAAATATATATATAAATATATATATTATTGTTTTTTGTATTATTTTATGTTTTTTGCCATTGATTTGAGTTTCCTTCAGTGGAAAAACACTTTTTAAATTTTATCTCTCAGAAATGGACGAGGATGTCGCCGCCCTGGTCGTTGACAACGGCTCCGGAATGTGCAAGGCCGGCTTTGCCGGGGACGACGCTCCCCGCGCCGTGTTCCCGTCCATCGTTGGACGTCCCAGACACCAGGTCTGAAGCTTAAACTGTGTCTCTGTCAAAAAAAAGTTACACTCTACACTGACGGCGCAGACGCAGTGACCCTGTGCTGTCTGTCTGTGTCTGTGTGCAGGGCGTGATGGTGGGAATGGGTCAGAAGGACAGCTACGTGGGAGACGAGGCCCAGAGCAAGAGAGGAATCCTCACCCTGAAGTACCCCATCGAGCACGGCATCGTCAGCAACTGGGACGACATGGAGAAGGTGAGGATGAAAGAAAGAAATGACCAAAGATGGAACAACCACGTTAAACGATTGTGCTGTAATATATA